GAGGCCTTAGTCCACAGCACAACTATATCCTTGATGGGAACTGGAAAAGGCTCCTTGCATGTCAACACCACCAATTTAGAAACACACCTAGCAGAAAGTAAGGGCAACAAGGAAGGCCACCTTGAGAGTAATTAAGGCAGAGGGATGTCTCCGAGCAGTTCAAAGAGCAGCTTCTGAGGGGGTCCACAGAACCAAACTGAGGTCCCACATACAGAGGGAATATAGGTGACCCCCTACTCTGCAAAGACCTTCACTATGGAGTGAGAAGCAAATCAAGGCTAAACATTTGTCTAAGCCAGATTGAAGGAAGGATAAAATGCACAGCCCATGCAGTACTTCTTAGAATGGAACTTCCTGGCGTCGCATTAAGCAAAATAAGTCCTCCAGGTTCAATGGTAGACCTGGTAGTGCATAGGCTTCCTAGCTTAAAGGAGCATAGGAATGACAGATTCTGAAAAGCCTCTGTCCTTCAGGACCTGGCCTTTAACAGCCATGCTATTAAATCCATCAACCAAAAAGCAGGGTGAAATACAGGTCCTTAGGAAAGGAGGTCTGGATGATTCATAAGTCCCCACAGAAGGTCTGCTAGGAGCTTGACAATGTCCAAGTATCAGGGCCTTTTGGGAAGCAATGAGATCACCGAAATGTCTTGAAACTCTTGACAGATGTGAGGAAAGAGTTTCAGAGGAAGGAAGGTATAGATCAGGCTGAAATTATTCCTCAAATTCATCAAGCCTTTCATGGCAAAGGCCCAGGGATCTCGTTTTTGGCAACCCCAGGAGGTCCATGTCCAGAGTCCCCCCCAACTGTGACAAGGGGTATGAAGCATCTCCAGATGACAGCATTATTCTCTGGCGTCCACACGTTAGAGACTGAGGAAGTCTGCCTACCAACATTCTACACCAAGGAATGCATGGCAGACAGGGTCAAAATTCAAGTTCCGCTCAAGCCACAACATGGCTTCTAGTGCTTCTTTGATGGTTCATGTAAGCCACAGCCGTGGCATTGTCCAACTGAACTCTGGTCAGATGACCCTGCAACTGAGGGATACGACGATGAAGAGACAATCTAATCACCCTGAGCTCCAAGATGTTTATTGAGAGCCAGGATTCTTTTGATGACTAGGCCTCTTGAATTGAGAACACAGGGTTGGATATTCACTATGCCAGAGCATACTTGATCTTGTTGGACAGTAGGATGGGGAAGATCCAGGGACTTAAAGGAGAACTATGGGGTCAGTGTTTTTCCCCATAGTTCTCCTTAGGGTAACGGGAGGACACAAACTAGCGTCCTCCTGTTACCCTGACGCCGCAGCCGGAGCGGATCACGACTTAGATGACGTCATCCGCCCAGCTGCGTGAGTGACAGCTGGCTCTGCCTATCTAGAGGCAGAGCCAGCTGTACGCGCCCCCTCCCCCGTCCGTTCCGCCAGTCAGCGCTGGCAGATCGGAGCGGGGAGAGGGGAATCCAGCCCCTCCCCGTCACGGCAGAGAGCCGTGACAGGATCGAGAGGCGAGCGAACCCGGTATGTGTTCGCTCACCTCCCGATCTACTGAGCCGACCTGTGATCATTGTCACAGGTCGCCTAGAACTATGAGGTGAGTGAAAAGCACTCACCTCATAGTTCTCATAGCTGCAGTGGCCTGGAGTGCAACTGAGCATAGGAAACTGCCTCAAAAGAGGCTGCCATCAGGCCCAGAACCTTCCTGTAAACGCCATAGGTCAGAAGGCTCGTGGACTGTAACGAGTGTTAAAGTGTAAGAGTACAAGACCAGAGGGACAGAAGCTTCTCCAAGGGAAGGAGAAGTGTCCAAGACTGGGACCGGGTATTGAATTTCTAGTGGTTCAGGATCCATCCCCATCAGGACACATCCACCCTAAGATCATCTAAGTACCTTGCAATGGGAATCTCCCTGGGACCAAGGCAGGGCCAAGAAAGGGGCCAGCACTTGGTGAAAACTCATGGTCCTGTGTAAAGGTCAACAAATATGGAAATTCTGGGTGCCCACCTCAAAACTCCTGTAGTGACAGTGGGCATAAAAATGGGGATGTGTAAATATGCATCCTTGATGTCCACTGCATGCAGGGAGGCGATGACAGAGTTGGTGGGTTTCATACAGAATTTTTGTACTAGCAAGAGGCTGTTGAGAATCTTTAGATCTAGGACAGGACAACCCTGCACACCTTTTCTTCCTTGGCCTTGTGGACAGATAGTCTTGGGGTCAAAAAGTGTAATCTCATGAGGCATGTCCTCTTCCTGAGAGGGCCCCTTAGTTCCTTCCTTTCTCCTCCACCAGCAACGCTAAGGCAGCTAGAGGAGAGTCAGGGGGGGTCTATGAGGGACCAGGAGAGGGGGCCAGCCTGCGAACCCTGTGGCCAAAATATCTCAAAAAGGTCAGCAATTTTCCCCATGAAATTAGTCATGACGGCAGTAAACTTCTCTCTAGCAAAAGCGTGGAGCTAGGAGAGAGGATAAACACACACCAGAACATTCCTCAGGTTATGTGGACCCAGCGCACCCCAGCCCAGGCAACTCCACATCGAAGATCCACCATGTGTGTCCTAAAACTCACAACCTTAGGTTGAGAGGTTCCTCCGTGTTCAGACACCTGCAGACACAAAGTGACCCCTGGCTTGGGTGCAGCAGCAGTGTCTGTGCAGAGTCTCACCATCAGCATGCGTACAACCAGAGCGTTCACCAGAGAGAGAAAATGGTGGGCGCATGCATAGTATTGTACCTGGGAGGGACTCTACAGAGGCAGAGCGGTGCTGCTGGACAATTGGAGAGGCTCGGAGGTAGTGGGTGTGTAATTGCCAGTCTGCTATTAGCTATTGCAATTTGAAATAGCCAATAGCAGGCTGGCTATTGCACACACCCAATACCTGCTGTGTTAACATTCCCTGCCTGAAGCTATTAAAGCCATGTCTGCTTAAATAGCTCAATTGAAGTGGAAAGGTGTCACCTTAAAGAGAGCCTGTCACCTCCAATGTGCTATTCATTAGGGGGCTTGGGAGATGTATATATATTTGTATTTTTGCTCAGAATTTGGTGTGTTACTTTAAATAAAAGCTTGGTTATTTTATTATATTGGCTTGGAATTTTTCCAATTCAGATTATTTTAAACTAGCTTAACCAGTTGACATCCGCGGTGTTAAACCCCCTTCCCATCCAGGCCATTTTTCAGTATTCAGCGCTGCGGTACTTTGACTGACATTTATTCCGTCATGCAGCGCTGTACTGAAATGAATGTTATACCATTTTTTGGGGACAGATAGAGCTTTCTTTTGGTGGTATTTATTCACCACTGGGGGTTTTATTTTTTT